AGCAGCAATTAAAAAAAAATTTAAAACATGTGAGCACATAAAAACCATCCAGATAGTACACATCTTAATGTGTTAAGTGAATTAGTTGCAAAATGGCTTTGATCATGTGCTGATGAAAAGAGAATGAATGGTTTTCAAAGTTAAAATATGATAAATTATGCAAGTATAAATAAAGCCAGTTAGTAAATATAGACAAAACTATTTATGTAAACCTTTTTTTAAATATCAAAAAACATACTTTTAAAGGTCACATAATGCAGTCATGTTTATAGAGAAGGTGCTAGAGATGGCACTAAAGAGAAACAGCTCTTAGAGAGCATTTAAATCTGAATATAAATTTTCTCAGGCTTCATATTTTTCCCTCTTCTTTCCTAGTTCCTCTTTTCTTCTTTAAAAAATTCTTCAGAGTGGCTCAGAATATTGGAATCAGGTTAAGAAAGGGGAGCCGCAATACTGATAAAATCTTTGGAAAGACACTCAGAAAAGTCTTTGTTATAATCAAACAAACAAGTATGGGGAATTAGATTTCTAGGATTCTGAGGTGTCATTCCTGGGTATTTTAATGAAAATGGACCAACCATCATCATAAAGTATTGCCTTTTGTCCAGTGAAAAAGAGTGAGAAAGTCCACATTCCATCTTCTTCCACATTTACACTAACTAAACTGTACCCACTGCACTTATTACTTTCTTCTCAAAAACCTAGGGAGTTGATTTCAAAGACTTAGACACATAAAGATCACTTTTAAATAAAGTTCAGGTAGCAGAAATAGCAGCGTTTAGGAACCCACAGAAGAGAATTCATGGAGAAGCTCCATGACAGCAGGACAGGCATCATGCCTCAGACACTTGATTGTTGCTGGCGCTGTGAGTCATGGCTTGCTCCTCAGGTCATCAACAGCAGTCTTGCTCCACTTTTCTGCTATTTTTTCTTCCCTTTTTTCTGTGATTTAGACAAAGGATCTCTCGCTCTCTGACTTTGTTTCTTCATCTCTCCCTCTCTCCCTTTTTGTCCTCTGTCCTTCTCTCCCTCTGTCTTTCTCTAATCCTCATCAAGAAGTGTGTTTTCTTTCCCAGGGAAGAGTCATAGTGTTGATGGGAGAGACCTGGCTCTTCTTACTGATGCATGTAAATAATTACAGATCAGCCCATCTATTAGTGTGCAATCAGAGTTTATTACTGATCCATTCCCATGAAAGAGAATGGGCTTAGCTAGGGTAGGGAGGTGAAAGAGACAGGTTCAGGGTAAAGCAGGGCAACAAAAATAGGGAAGCTGAAGGCCAGGATGGCAAGCCCCCAGGTGGCCAGAGGCCAATGAGCCAGAGAGCCAAGAAAGCAAGTCCTGTGTTCTGAGGACTTACAGAGTTGGCGGGATGGGAGTGAAAAAGATACATATTGATTGACGGGTAAATGTGGTGCCAGCTTTCCCAGGAGGACGTGACTACCCAAACTCAGGTGTGTGTGGGGGCTTGTTAGCCCGAATCCTTATCTTGCTCCAGACTCTATTTGTTTGCCTTGTTCGAGAACAGATACGTGACAGGAGGCAGTTAATTAAAGTTGGGGCAGTTACCAAAGTTATTTATGGGCTGCTTCTTTGGGCATTCTGGACTCTCTCCTGCTTTTCAGGCCTTGGGATGAAAGCACAGTTTCAAAGCTTTCTTTCCCAGGTAGTGGAAATGCTACATAGAATTTCAAGGACTACCCTCTTCCCATGCTAACACAGTGTTCCTTGTGATGTTGAAATACATGGCAATACTATCAGACCAGACTCAGGACTACTAAATTGGTGGATGAGATATGATCCCCTCCTCCTGCCTACCTTGGTTTACTGATCATTCTACCAAAGTGATAAAAGGCATTTTCTAGCAACCAGGATGCTAGACATTTGCCAGTAAGAGCAGTACAGTCTCAGAGTTTTTCCCATGCTATCTCCTGCCTCAATACAAGGGGGGACGCAAAAAAAAACCAGAATTATCTTCTGGAGGGCGGGCCCCTTGCAGTGCAGGCTTCCCCCAGTAGGTGAGTGTTCTAGGGACCCATCTGTATCAGTGTACTAGCTAGTGTTGTGAGAGGTTGTGTTCAGCTTCAGTGAATTTTTTTTTAATACTCTTTCAATCCGCTTGCCCCTTTTATGATGGGTGATTTATAAGCGCACCTGCCCACAAAAACACTAAAAGGCATCAAAATCAATGAGTTAAAAAACTGTTTGGAGCAGTGGAAAAAAATTCTTTATAGGTGTATTGAATCAAATGGAGAGTACTTTGAAGGTGACTGAAATTTAAACATGTAAGAATAAATACAGGATTTTTTATAAATAAATTCCAGGTATTTTGGGTCCCCCCTTACACCCTCGTCTCTTGATCTCTTGGTACGGGTCACTGACACTGATGAAAGCTCCTACATTAAACAAGCAAAACAAAACAGAAACTACATAGATAAAGTCCTCAACATTTATATGTACTTGAAAAAACTATCAAAACATTGAACATTTCAAGGATCAAATAAAGGCTGTACTATAGCAAAAATTCACATTTAAACTTTAATGATGTTTATTAATAAATAACAACGAGGCTCTTCTTTAAAGTGAAGAGTGTACCAGATGGTTCTCTTTGCCAGCACAAATTGTTCTCAATGTTTATAACGGGTTTCTGTAAGTGCCTTTGATTGACAGCAAACAGTTGTGTTACCAAACAGTGTGACATCAGGTCAATCATGATGAAACTTGATAATGCCACATCAATAATGTGACATTTTATGCTGTAGTTTGGAACAAATCACCGAAAGAGAAGAAAGAGATACATAGCAATGGATAAATATTATAAACAAATATTAACTCATCACATTGTGGCCTCCCTTGATAATATTCAAGGCCAATAGCATGACATTAATGACCCTCAGAATCCCTAATAACTCTTAAACTGAGAAATAAAGACATTTTCCAAAACAGAACATAACATGTCTCCCTGTTTTGATAAAAACTATTGCACTATATAATTTATCTAATTCCTCATCAAATCATTAGACAATTGAGATACATATTTTAAGAGTATAACAACTCCTTAAGGCTACAGCACGCCATAACAGCCACAATTATAGGATGCAGAGAGTAGGAAAATGGTCTATTTTCCAAAGGGCAGATTACTCAAATAAGCAAACCACCACATAAAATAGAACTGACCCATCTCTTCCTCTTTTAAATAAAGTTGCTGTTCTCAACTCTCCCTGTCTGTGATGCCAGTTTGACCAGAGTGGGATCCAAAGGTTGAGCTTAGCCACAAGAGATCAAGCAGAAAGTTACAAAGGACTTATGATGATGATGTTGCAATGGCCTGACTTAAGAAACCATGATCCAGAGGATGGGATGATGAGGAGAGATGAGGTGGTGGCAACTGGTATAGATGGACTATGGTTGGGAACCCAGAATTATCACTGGGGGAATTTGAATAATTTTCTAATTTGTGTGATGGGAACCCACTTCCTCACCTCCTCACTTAAATCTTCACTTAATTTCATATTTTAGTTGATATGTGGAGGAAGTAGATCTTTTGGGGGCAGGACACTACACTAAGAGAAGTTGTGAGGTGGATGACAGTAGAAACCAAAGTCTTTAGTGGAAGTTTCATGTAACTTATATTCCTGTTCTTTGCAGGACCAGTTATCTTTCTGTTCTCTGAATAAGGCCACCACTCTCCTGCTTTTATAACTTAGATTTTCCTCTTCCCATGAACTGAACATAATGACCCTTCAAGTTTTATCCCAAATGCTGCATCATGCATGAAGTTCGTTCTAATTTGCTGAATGGATTTGAGCTTTCCTTTCCTAACCTACACAAAGAAATTTTGTAAGTGTACTTCCTATGGCACTTAAAATAATCTAGCTTCCATTCTGCCTGGTACAGCATTTAGCCGGAGGTCAGGAATTATGCTTTACTTATCTCAACAGCCACTCAGGTACCTAGCTTAGTGTTCAACAAACGTTAGTTAAAATACATTGAACAAAAATAAGAAATGCAAAGAAGAAATAAGAAATTTCTTATAAAAAATACAAAAATTAGCTTACTTTATTCTGCCTTTCTTGCTAAAAGCTATCTTTAAAAGAAAGATGGGGAAATGTTTAAATTTAACATTTAATTTGACTGAGTTCTCATACCTCCTTTTGAGATAAATTTACTTTAACGATTCCTTCCAACTGTATAGCAAGACCGTAGATATTTCTTCAAAATGAGAATAGGACCCATAGTTCTTACTTGCTGTCTTTTAAAGTGGACAAAGAGTGAAGTTCTCTGATAACCCTCTATTGGAAGACACAATTTTTAATATAGAAAAGTATTCGTAACGGTGTTCTGTATTATCTCTTGGCACAAAAGGTGTTCTTTTTCAGTAATTGATTACAGGAACATGTTCAGAGGTATACTTTCCTTAATAGTTGTTTTCTAAAAGAAGAAAATTCTTTTGTTTTTTTATTTTGTCTAGTTTTTTTCTTTTAATGCTTTCAATTTGGAAACTGTTAACATAGAACTGCACTAAACTTTCTCAGTATTATTTATTTTGTAGTTCACTCTCCTGACAGAGACACAGAAAATGTGCCTCACATGATGTCTTACATATTATCCAGTTCCTCCTGCAGGCTCAGACATAAGCAGGAGACAATAGTGATTGATTAAAGCCAGAAAAGCCCTTGAATTCCACTTTCACAAAATTAACCTTTTTTTCCTTTATGTTTCCTTTGCATAACACATTCCTTTGCATGATGCATTATGCTACATCCTTGCTACTTTCTGGGAAAAAAAAAGAAAGAGAAACAAGACTAAACAAAATACCATATGCTGTGGACCAGGGCATGAAGGCTTATGCATTTCAAATACGCTGTGAAAGAAACAAAGTGTAGCAGCCATTCATAAAGAGAACATTATCTAAAGAAGATCCTTTAAACATGCTTGGATCTACTGCTTTTGCATAGAAATAGAATCAGTAGTATTACTTAAATGAAAATACAATTATTGTGCTCGCTTTGGCAGCACATTTACTAAAATTGGAACAATACAGAGAAGATTAACACAGCCTCTGCGCAAGGATGATACGCAAATTCATGAAGCGTTCCATATTTTTGAAAATCTTGGAGGACTTCAAAAAAAATATAGACAGCAACTCACTGATAGTAGGGGATTTAACATCCCACTGTCAAAAATGGACAGATCTTCCAAACAAAACATCAATAAGGATATTGTGGAGCTGAATGACGTATTAAATCAAATAGACTTAACTGACACATACAGAACCTTACATCCCAAAGAAGCAGCATACACATTCTTTTCAAATATGCATGGAACTTTTTCAAAGATAAACCACATGATAAGACAAAAAGCGAGCCTCAGCAAATTCAGGAAAATTGAAATACCACCAAGCATTTTCTCAGATCACAAGGACTTCAAACTGGAAATCAACCTCAAAGAGAAACCTCAAAAACTTGCAAACTCATGGAGATTGAACAGTAAACTATTAAACAATGAATGGGTCAATAATGAGATAAGAGAAGAAATTAAAGAGTTTCTGGAAACAAATGAAAATCAACATACAACAGTCCAAAACCTATGGGACACAGCAAAGGCAGTCCTGAGAGGGAAATTCATAGCAATACAGGCCTACCTAAGAAAGATAGAAACATTTCAAATAAAAGACCTAACACTAAAACTTCAAGAACTGGAGAAACAACAACAAATAAATCCCAGAGCAAGGAAAAGGAAAGAAATAATTAAGATCAGAGCAGAGCTGAATGACATAGAGAGGAAAAGAACAATTCAAAGGATCAACCAATCCAGGAGCTGGTTCTTTGAAAAGATAAATAAAATCAACAAGACTAAGCAGACTCATCAAGAAAAAAGGGAGAGGACCCAAAGTAATAATATCAGAAATGAAAGAGGAGAAATAACAACTGATACCACAGAAATACAAAGGATTGTCAGAAACTACTATGAACAATTATATGCCAAGAAATTTGAAAATCTTGATGAAATGGACAAATTTCTAGAAAAGTATAATCTTTCAACACTGAAGGAAGAAGAAGCAGAAAGCCTGAACAGACCAATAACAGGTGGGGAAATTGAAGCGGTAATCAAGAAACTCCCGGCACACAAAAGCCCTGGGCCAGACGGTTTCACAGGAGAACTTTTTACAAAACATTTAAGGAAGAGCTAACCCCTGTCCTTCTCAGACTATTCCAAAAAATCCAAGAGGAGGGAAGACTCCCAGACTCTTTTTATGAGGCCAGCATCACTCTAATCCCAAAACCAGATAAAGACCCTACACAGAAAGAAAACTACAGGCCAATTTCGCTGATGAACATAGATGCTAAAATCCTCAACAAAATATTGGCAAAGCGCATCCAGCAATACATTCAAAAGATTATCCACCATGATCAAGTGGAATTCATCCCAGGGATGCAGGGATGGTTCAATACACACAAATCAATAAATGTAATACATCACATAAACAAAAGGAAAGACAAAAACCACATGATCATCTCGATAGATGCAGAAAAAGCATATGATAAGGTACAGCACCCATTTATGATCAAAACACTCAGCAAAATGGAAATAAATGGGACATTCCTCAATGTAATAAAGGCCATATATGAAAAACCTACAGCCAACATCATACTCAACGGGCAAAAACTGAAAGCTTTCCCACTAAGATCGGGAACACGACAAGGATGTCCACTCTCACCACTTTTCAGCATCGTTTTGGAAGTCCTAGCCACAGTGGTCAGACAAGAAAAAGAAATAAAAGGCATCCAAATACGAAAGGAGGAAGTAAAACTATCATTGTTTGCAGATGACCTGATAGTGTACATAGAAAACCCTGTAGACTCCACCAAAAAACTCCTCAACCTAATACGTGAATTTGGCAAAACAGCAGGATACAAAGCCATATTCAGATCAAAGGAATTCTTGTACACCAGCAATGAAATAAAAATATAAGAAATCACAAAAAATATACCACTCGATATAGCAACAAAAAAATAAAGTACCTACGAATAAATTTAACCAAGGAGGAAAAAGACCTGTACGCCGAAAACTATACAACATTGAAGAAAGAAATTAAAGAAGACACAAATAAATGGAAGCATATACCGTGTTCATGGATTGGAAGAATTAATATCATCAAAATGTCCATACTACCCAAAGCAACTTATAGATTCAATGCAATCCTTATTAAAATACCAATGATATATTTCACAGAAATAGAACAGACATTTCAAAAATTTATATCAAACCATAAATGACCCCGAACGGCCACAGCAATTTTGAGAAAGAAAAACAAAGTAGGAGGGATCACAATACCGGACATCAAACTATACTACAAAGCCACTATACTCAAAACAATCTGGTACCGGCACAAGAACAGACCCGTAGACCAGTGAAACAGAATAGAAAGCCCAGAAATAAGCTCAGGTCTATACGGACAACTAATATTTAACAAAGGGGGCAGAAGCATAGAATGGAGTAAAAATAGTCTCTTCAACAAATGCTGTTGTGAGAGCTGGACGGCTACATGCAAAAAATTGAAATTGGATCATCAGCTGACACCATACACAAAAATAAACTCAAGATGGATAAAAGACTTAAATATAAGTCGCAACACCATCAAAGTCCTAGAGGAGAACATTGGCAGGAAACTCTCAGTATCCCACGCAGCAATTTTTTCACCGATATGTCTCCTAAACCAAGGGACATAAAAGAAAGAATAAACAAGTGGGACCTCATAAAAATAAGAAGCTTCTGCACGGCGAAAGAAAACATCAGCAAAATGAAAAGGGAGCTTTTCATGGGAAAATGTATTTGCTAATGATACATCAGATAGAGTTTTGATCTCCAAAATATATGAAGAACTCACACAACTCCACTCCAAGAAGACAAATGACTTAGTCAAAAAATGTGCAAACGACCTGGGCAGACGCTTTTCCAAGGAAGAGATACAGAGGGCCCAGAGACATTTGAAAGGATTCTCGGCATCACTAGCCATCAGAAAAATGCAGATCAAAACCACAATGAGATACCACACACACCGGTCAGAATGGCCACCATAAACAGATCAACAAACAACAGGTGCTGGCGAAGCTGTGGAGAAAAGGGAACCCTAGTACACTGTTGGGGGGAATGCAGACTGGTGCAGCCATTGTGGAAAGCAGTGTGGAATTGCCTCAAAAAGCTGAAACTGGAACTGCCTTTTGATCCAGTGATTCCCCTGCTGGGACTATACCCTGAGAACACCAAAACGCCAATACAAAAGAACCTATGCACCCCAATGTTCATAGCAGCACAATTTACCATAGCCAAGTGTTGGAAGCAACCTAAATGCCCATCAGTAGATGATTGGATCAAAAAATTGTGATACATTTACACAATGGAATACTATGCAGCAGAAAGAAAAAAAGAACTACTACACTTCACGACAGCATGGATGGAACTAGAAAGCATAATGCTAAGCAAAATAAGCCAGGAGGCGAAGGACAAATACCATATGATCTCACCTATAACTGGAACCTAACCAACAATGTAAAGATGCAAGGAAAATAAGACCAGCAACACTGAAAGAAAAAGAAACAAACAGAGACAAGTGGGAAGGAGGGAGGGGTGGGCAGGGAAAAGGAAGGGAAGAGTCAAGTCAAAGAACATATAGCAAGGACTCATGGACAAAGCCAAAGTGGGGAAGGACTGAGGGAGGGAAAGGGGGAAGGGGGCCAGGGGAAAGTCGCGGGGGGAAGGCAGAGACAAATGTATTTGAAAAAATAAATAAATAAATAAAAAGATAAATTGTAAAAGATAACAAAAAAATAAAAGAAAATACAATTATTATTGCACCTTTATTACCATGTCACTTCAGATTTTATTGACTGGGACCTGTTGGGGAAATTCTGATTTCCTGTAAATAGAATTTAGAGAGAAAAAATAGAATGGAAGAAGTGCATGTTACAGTATATAGATTTCTTTCTTCAATAACTTTAAATTCATGATCATCACTAATGTATATCCAGATGTTTCATCTCAAACACAATATGAGAAATACTATAGTGAAACTACATCATTCAATTTATTGGAAATTCCTCCCTTTCATGAGCTTCTTAGATGACTTTTGGCCTTCAGAATCCCCCATTTCACAGTACCTAGTCAACAATGCCATCATTCATTGAATACTTTTATCAAGCATTAATATATGTCAGACAGTGTTCGAAATACAAAAATAAAGACCTTGTCCCTCAAGGTGTTCAGCATTTAGAGAGGAATAAAGAGAAATACAAGATACTGTTGAGTCCAGTAATGGAGGGGCAGCATGTATTGGATGAGTCCTCCTGTCCATAGTAAGTATCAACTCTTGATAAGATAGAAAAGGAGCTGCTGGTGGCAGTGGAGATGATGTAAAAGCAGAAAAAGAAGGGAGCCCACACTTGAAAGAAAGGAATCTTTGCTGTGGTCAAGCTAGGTTTGTATTATGCGCCCCCAAGTATTCTCCTGACTCCTTATAGCATGAGATTGATAAACTCAAGCAGACAGTTGCACTATTACTGGTCTGAAGAGACCTAAGTAAAAGTTTTTGAGCTGCCAGAGAGGCTGGAAATTGAACGGTAGAAAATTCAGAAAAGAAGATCTCTAGAGAGAAGAGTCCAAAATCTGCATGTATATTTCCTTAATCCTTGGATGATTCTTGAACTGTACATGTGAGAAGAAAACTAAATGAAGCCCAAGAAGAAAATAACAATTGGAAGACTGAAAGAGCTTAGCAGAAATATCAATATCTGTTACCCAGGGCAAAGGAGACAAAATTTAGAGTTCAAATTTCACACACTAGAGGGACATGATAAATATTTCATACTTTTTATTGAAATTCTAGCAAAGCACTGCCTTAAGAATAGGAAATATGTTTTAGAACTAAGAAACTTTTTATAACCAAAAGACAAAACTAAAATAAATCTACTTTAAAAAGCCAAATACCAAGCCACTAAAAGCCTAATCCATGGTAATATAATAAAATATTAGAGAAAACTAAATAATTCTCATAGACTTTATATCACATCATCCACAAATATTTTTTTAAAAAAAGGAGGAAATAGG